TCTTCCTTTTCCGGACCTCAAACACCCCTCCATGCTGCTGAGCACCAGGGCTGAGTGGTCATCATGCAAGGGGATGCAGATCACGCCCTTGCTTACCTGCAAGCTCCTTGCAGCCGACCCTACACACAGTATTTTCTCCCTGGTGTGATTTCAGACGTGTCATGAGACCCCATAGCATGGATTTTATTTTCATCAGCTAGGCCAAATCTAGATAGATATGAATGAAAACCATCTATCTGGGTATCTTGATCTCTCTCTCAGGATAGGGATTTATCTACCTGTTGTATTTGTACATGCTCATCACCATGGTCACTGGACATCAAGGTGTCACCATCAGATGAGATGTTATCCCAAAGTCCTGACAACCTGCAATCTAGGAGCACCTAGAACTCCCAAGGGTTTTATCTTTCCCCACAAGAGTATGGAAGTTATTGCCAGTCTCCTGTCACAAATTCCCATTGGGTCATTCCATTCTGCTTAAGTTTAATTCCCCAGTTATTTCTATTGAATGCTGAATCCTTCTCTCTCCACTCTGAATTGCTATCAAGTATTGGGGACCACTGACCCTGAGGCCAATGCGTTTCTACAATGGACAAAGTGATCCTTTAATGTTTGAGCTGGTTGACATATTTCATTCAATACAATGTTTTCAACAATAACAAAAAATGGCATTTTCATCCAAATGTTTCTTTCCACAGGAAATGTCCATTCTTGGGAGAGTGCTGTGACATTGCACTCCATATGTTTTATGGAAATATGCTAATAAGTATGAATATGATGTAACTGGAATATGCTTCATGCAGAAGGTCTCTTGTAAACTATCATTACAAAGCTTATAATCTGCTGACTGTGTTCATCCTATTTGTATGTATGTATCATTCTTGTGTCTAATACTATAAATATGAAGTATAACTCTGAAGTCCTGTTGTAATTATGCAAAGTGTGGGCCATTAATGGTGGTTTAGAATCTTGATGGCTCCCATTGACTAGGACAATTGGTTGTAAATGGCTCTGTTTACTTGCAAGCCTTCCTGCGTTAGTGTGAGTCAGGCCGGGAAGAATGGAGGCTTAGGGTATCACAGGACATGTGGCCATGTCACCTGGTACTGGAATCTATCTTAAACCTGGTGCTTTTCCATTTAGAAGGCGGGGTGGGGACCCAGAGAAACAAAAGATTCCTGTCTTGTGCCAAAGCTATAAAAGGGGGTGGAACAGAACAAAGGGGGCTGCCAGTCATGAGAAATCTCCTAGTTACCACCTGAGCTGGAACTAACAAGGACTGTACCGGGGAAAGGATTGGGCCCAGACTAGGAAGGAGTCTAGTCTGTAAAAGAAGCTTATTGGAACATCTCTGAGGGTGAGATTTACCTGTAATCAGTTTCTTAATGTATTAGGCTTAGACTTGCGTGTTTTGTTTTATTTTGCTTGGTAACTTACTTTGTTCTGTCTGTTATTACTTGAAACCACTTAAATCCTACTTTTTTTACTTAATAAAATCACTTTTGTTTATTAATTAACCCAGAGTAAGTGATTAATACCTGGGGGAGAAAACAGCCGTGCATATCTCTCTACCAGTGTTATAGAGGGCGGACAATTTATTAGTTTACCTTGTATAAGCTTTATACAGAGTAAAATGGAATTATTTGGGGTTTGGATACCATTGAGAGATGGGTGTCTGGGTGCTGGAGAAAGGAGTACTTGCTGAGCTGTTTTCAGTTTAATCTGCAGCTTTGGGGGGCATGGTCCAGACCCTGGGTCTGTGTTGCAGTAAGCTAGCATATCTGGCTCAACAAGTTTGGAGCCCCTAGCTGGCAAAGAAAATGGGCTCAGAGGTAGGTCCTCAAAAAAAAAAACCCTACCAAACTGAAATATAACCCAAAACTGAAAAATATTGTTAAATCTGGCAAAAATTTTCTGTAAAACCAAAAAAATGTTGTCCAATCTGGTGAAAGTTTTCAATTTTCCATTGCTGAATTTTTTTTATGGTTTTGGGGCAGGGGAGGTTTGGTTCTGTTTGGTTTTGGTTTGGTTTTGTTATGAAAATTTGAAAAGCTTTGTAGAAATGTTTTTTATATAAAATTATCTTTTTGTTTTAATTCAAAAATTTTGTCCAGGGGAAAACAATGAATATTTCCTGCCTACATCTACCAGAGTTGATCAAATGCTTTCAGATCTTTCAATGGGTTTATAATTATTACAATGTAATAAATAACAATAATAAATTCCTTGGGCAAAAACCAAACTAACCCATTGTATTTCTTACTGTAAAGTTCAATGAGATACAATGCATCACACAGCAAGAAAAGGAACTGAAAAAAGACAAGCAAAAGTTGCTTCATGACCATTACATAAAAGCACACCTAGAATTAGCTGTAGATATTATACATTTTTTTTGAAGAACTATAGGCTGGTGAAGCTTATCAGCTCATTGGAGAAAAATATCAGATGGGGTAGAATTTCTCAGCTGCTGGAAATACTTGTTTGAGGGCTGGTCTAACCTAAAGCTGTAAGTCGACCTAAAGTATGCTACTTCAGTTATGTAAGGGTATGTCTACACTACGAAATTAGGTCGAATTTATAGAAGTCAGTTTTTTAGAAATCGGTTTTATATATTCGAGTGTGTGTGTCCGCACAGAAAATGCTCTAAGTGCATTAAGTGCATTAACTCGGCGGAGTGCTTCCACAGTACCGAGGCAAGCGTCGACTTCCGGAGTGTTGCACTATGGGTAGCTATCCCACAGTTCCCGCAGTCTCTGCTGCCCATTGGAATTCTGGGTTGAGATCCCAATGCCTGATGGGGCTAAAACATTGTCGCGGGTGGTTCTGGGTACATGTCATCAGGCCCCCCTTCCCTCCCTCCCTCCATGAAAGAAAGGGCAGACAATCGTTTTGCGCCTTTTTTCCTGGGTTACCCATGCAGATGCCATACCACGGCAAGCATGGAGCCCGCTCAGCTCACTGTCACCCTATATCTCCTGGGTGCTGGCAGACGTGGTACTGCATTGCTACACAGCAGCAGCAACCCATTGCCTTATGGCAGCAGATGCTACAGTAGAACTGGTAGCCATCATCGTCATGTCCGAGGTGCTCCTGGTTGCCACTGTGAGGTCGATCCGGAGCGCCTGGGCAGACATGGGTGCAGGGACTAAATTTGGAGTGACTTGATCAGGTCATTCTCTTTAGTCCTGCAGTCAGTCCTATTGAACCATATTATGGTGAGCAGGCCGGCAATACGGATTGCTAGCAGTCCTCTTGTACCATCTTCTGCCGGGCAGGCAAGAGATGAGGATGGCTAGCAGTCCTATTGTACCATCTTCTGCCGAGCAGCCATGAGATGTGGATGGCATGCAGTCCTTCTACACCGTCTGCTGCCAGCCAAAGATGTAAAAGATAGATGGAGTGGATCAAAACAAGAAATAGACCAGATTTGTTTTGTACTCATTTGCAACCCCCCACCCACCCACCGTCTAGGGGACTCATTCCTCTAGGTCACACTACAGTCACTCACAGAGAAGGTGCAGCGAGGTAAATCTAGTCATGTATCAATCAGAGGTCAGACCAACCTGCTTGTTCCAATAAGAACAATAACTGAGGTGCACCATTTCTTACTGGAACCCTCCATGAAGTCCTGCCTGAAATACTCCTTGATGTAAAGCCACCCCTTTGTTGATTTTAACTCCCTGTAAGCCAACCCTGTAAGCCATGTCATCAGTCGCCCCTCCCTGCGTCAGAGCAACGGCAGACAATCGTGCATCTGAGTTGAGAGTGCTGTCCAGAGCAGTCACAATGGAGCACTCTGGGATAGCTCCCGGAGGGCAATACCATCGAATTGTGTCCACAGTACCCCAAATTCGACCCGGCAAGGCCGATTTAAGCACTAATCCACTTGTCAAGGGTGGAGTAAGGAAATCAATTTTAAGAGCCCTTTAAGTCGAAATAAAGGGCTTCATCGTGTGGACGGGTGCAGGTTTACATCGATTTAACGCTGCTAAATTCGACCTAAAGTCCTAGTGTAGACCAGGGCTAAGTTACATAACTGAAGTCGATGTCACTTAGGTCGACTTACAGCGGTGTCTACAGTGCTCTCCTGCTGATTTACCTTCTGCTTCTCGGGGAGGTGGAGTACAGAAGTCGGCAGGAGAGCGCTTTGCCATTGACTTAATCTGTCTTCACCAGACCTGCTAAATCGACACCTCTGTATCGATCATAGCAGTGCTGATTTAGCTGCAAGTATAGACAAGCCCTTACTCAAAAAGGGGCTAAATCCTTAGTTAGTGTAAAACACTGACTTCAGTGAAGCTGCACCAATTTATACCAGGATCCAGCCCAAATTTTTAACATCGTAAATCCATTTAATTTATTTTATGGGATAAAGTCATTTTCTTGATATATGCACAAGTGTTTAATTTTCTGAATATTACTGCATAGGAATTTTTTCCCTACAGGTCGCTGATGGAATATCACTCTCTTGGGCTCAAATCTGTTTCTGGTATGATGGTTCTGAAGTCTATGGAGTTAAGCTAGGCATGTATGTTTTGTCTGATTGGCCAAGGTTTTCAAAAGTGACGAGAGATTTTGTGTGCTGCAGTTTTTGATGCTTCACTGGAGTCACCTTAAAGGGGCTTGATTTCTAGAAGGTGTGTCCTCCCTTCTTTCTCAAAATCAGCCCCTTTACAGTATTTCAAGCTGGTCATTCAGGATTGGAGGTATCCCATATTGATAGCCACTTTTCAAAATCTTGACCATTATCCACCATAGTTTATTTCATGGTGTAGTTTTAACTAGATTATGGTACCTGGCTTAAACCTAGAGGGAGAGTAGGTGTCACTACCATGACAACTGGTTAGGTGACAGTTGTCACCATGACAGTTGGTCCCTTTGAGGCAATACATAGCAGGTTATTGAGCTGTAACGGACACCGTTCATTTCTCTTTCGGTTGTCAGGGTTGGCTGGAGGGGCTGAGCTGCAGCCATTAGATGATAAGAGAAGGCACCATCTTCTAGACTCTCCTGCTTGTCGATTTCACCGATGTGGAAGTGATGGTTGTTTTCGCAATGGTGCTGGACCTGCCTCCAGATCCGTACCCTCCCCTGCCTCCATTGTTTCCTCCTCCAGAGGTGGATCCTCCACCTAAGGCATATCCACCTCTTCCACTTCTGGAACTGAAACCTATTCCACCACCACTGCCTCCTCCTACTCCAAGGCAAATCCCACCTCCAAGTCCACCTCCAGAGGTTAAGCTGCCACCCACCATGGCTGCGGAGGAAAACAAAGGCAGTTGGTTATTCCAGAAGCAAGCCCAGGAGTCCTAGCGTACAACCCACAACCGGACACCACCTCTAACAGAACAAGATGAATGTGCCAGCGACTTACAGATACTCACAGAACTTTGGCATTCTCCAGACATTCTGCAAGGGAAAGAAAGTGGTACGGGTTACACATGCAACAGAGCCGTTATACTGCTAGGAACCCTGCAATCATTGATATTTCATCTGCTGAAGGCCAGGGTCAGTTTCCGGTCGGGAACTGGAATTTCCATTCTGCAGGATATTCCAATGTTTTGGGCGTAAAAAATTATTCCAGTTCAGAATGAAAAGCTGAAATTTTGAAATTTGCCATGAAAGAAACATTTCAAACTTATTCATAACAGTGTTGTTTTGACTTTTGTATTGTATTAAAATATTAACTATAATATATGTATTCTGTACACATGCTACTAAATGTAATATAATGTTAAAATTAATATTATCCTATCATCTAAAAGTCAAAATGAAATTAGTCCAAATGATGCTATCAAAAGGGAACATTCCAACTTTTTCCTGTTGAAAAATTCTCAAAATCAAAACACACTTCCACAAAACATTTCAATTCCTAAAAAACTGCATTTTTCAATGGAAGAGCATTGATGGAACTAGTCAGTACAATTAAACAAGATCTGTATTCTCTTCATTACTATTATTTGTTTTGCCATAGCAGCAAAAAGCCTCAACCAAGATCAGGGCCCTGCACAGACACAGAGCAGTAGACAGTTCCTGTCTCAAAAGAGTTTGCAAGCTAAACTGTGAAACAATTTGGGGCTGGTCTTCACCACACACTGTGATTAATTAATCCACCTCAATGAGAGAAGGAAGCTAAGTCAATGGGAGAGTGTCTCCCATTGACATAGTGCAGTGGAGAACCACTTCAAACCAATGTAAGTTACATCACTTAACTCTCATAACTTAGACTGACTTACAACATTAGGGTAGACAAGGCTAAAGGCACATAATCTTGCTTAAGGTCACCCAGCAGATCAGTGACAGACTAGAACTCATGTCGCCTGAGTGCCTACCCAGAGCCCTATCCACTAGACTAGACCACCTCTTGCTCTTAAAGCAGCAGCATGTCCTAAATGCTAATATGCCAATATTATTCAGACTGCCTTCTTAGTTGCCAGGGAGTTAGGGGCATTGTTTTAAAAGGGTGAGTATGACATGCGCTAAGTTTCCCCATTGACTTCAAAAGATCTGGTCCTCATTATATTGCCCTAACCTGCATACTTCTCCTTCCAGCAGCTTCCTGTAGGTGGCGATCTCGATATCCAGAGCCAGCTTGATGTTCATCAGCTCCTGGTACTCCCGCAGCTGACGCGCCAAGTCTGCCTTGGTCTTCTGCAGGGCACCCTCCAGCTCAGCCAGTTTGCCCTTGGCGTCTTTGAGGACCAGCTCACCTTGCTGCTCGGCCTCAGCAATGGAGGTCTGCAGCTTTTCACACTGCAAGGCAAGACAAACATCTGATGGATTCTGCTGAGGGTAGCACAGAAAAACACAGGCCTGATCCTCTTTTGCCCGGTAGTGTTTGTCAGTGACAATGGTGCAAAGTGAGCGTAAACCACTGCCATTCTGGTATGATAGTGGTTTACATTCCATGTGCACTGGTATAAATGACTGAACAAGGGAGAATCAGGCTGCTGGAGTTTAACATTAGCTCAGATTTTGCAACAAGAGTGAGATCACCACAATGGTTTTCATTTGCAACCATGGTCCAAATCCCAAAACCGGCCACAAATGAAACACTTCAGAAGCTCATGGCACAATCTGATAAAAGCAGCAGTCACAGTATTGCCCAGGTGTTCAGAAATCATGGCACCATAAAATCATGAGATCATACTAAATAAGCTGGGACTTCTTTTTATCAGCCTTCTGGTTTTGGAGACTGTAGTGTTCAAGCTTCGTCTCTGCAATCATGAGGCCCTTTCTTAAAAGAAAGCTGAAAACCTCATGTCATCACCTGATTCCAGGAGCTGGAGCTTTAAAAAAAGACCAAATACCATGCAATGTGTGATTAAAAATCACAAGAATTGACAAGATTGTAGTCACCACTCAAGAAAGGCAACTAGACTAGACAAAACTAGAAGGACAAGGGGTATTGTCGTAGAAATTATGTTAAATACTCATCAGCGCTTAGCTGTTGTTGAGTCTATAGGGAGACAGACAGACCTCAATGCTTTTCTTTAGCCAGGACACTTCCTGACATGAACAGAACTGGAAAATGGAAATGTGTATTTTTGTTTAAAAAAATCCCAAATTAGGGCAAAAAGCCAAATATGTGAAATTTTTCATGGAAGGGATTTGCAGAAAAAATCCATTTTAGGAGAAGGCTCTAGTCAAATTTGTTTTCTCCAGGCAGGAAGTGAAATTAACAAGAGCTTTCCTGGCAGGAAGCTGGGGAGCTGCCATTTTGATTTTTCCAAAAGAAAATTGAAATTTTATGAAAAGCGCTTTTTCTAATAGAAAAATCATTGCAATGGAAAGTTCCTCATGAGCGCTACATCTACCAGTGAAACGCTAAAAGAATTCATCCCGGGTTCACACTCACGTGCATGAAAAAAAGCCATATCTGCTTCTTCACATTTTCTATTTCAGCCCACAGCCTTTGGATCATCCGGTTAAGCTCTGAGATCTCGCTCTTGCTGTCTCGTAGACTGTCTCTGTGTTTCCCAGCTGTCACCTGCAGCTCTTCAAACTGGTGTTCAGAAACAACATAACCAGGTGGTGTCAGACAAAGGCTAGTGTGTATACTCTTTGCTGCAAACCATCATCACCCCGTGAGTTATCTCCCAAAGAGGACACTGTTCAGAAGAATCCAGTAGAGTATTTCAAGTGGGGAGATGGCCGTCCTCTTGGTCAACATACCAGGGATTGAACCGGGGACCTCCAAAACTAAAAAATATGAGCTGCTACTTGAGCTAAAGCTGCAGAACTTGGAGGGTGAGGGAGCTGGCAATTCATACCCTTTGTGGATCAGCCCAGTGGGATACACTCACCAGTGGGTTGCATTTGTAGCAGAGGTTCATAACTCATGGGACCGGCTGTTTTTCCTTGCCCTCTCCTTTTGCCACTCACTTGGGGGAATTGCTACTACTGAGGAAGCTTGCATTTTGGAAATGCATGAGGGATGCTCACACCTGTGGCTGCCAGCAATAGTGGGGCATTACTTCACGTTCCTGGGCAAAGGGGCACTTTGGGTTCTAACCATCTAAGGACCCACTGTGGAACTGCACTACAGCACGAACTGGGATCGCTTGCGTCTTATGTGCACGGCTTAGTCAAGTTGTGAGTAAGTGCTATGGCAGCAGAGACACAGTGTTGAGATGAGTAAAGGAGGGAGAGCAAATAACCTTATGGAGCACCATCCCTACACACACACCACTCCCATCACAGCTTAGACCTCCGCAATCATCTTGGTCTGCAGCACCAGGGAGGTGACAGCCTCTTTGCCTTGGCCAAAGCTGCGTGTGAAAAGACAGAGCATCCTCCCTGTGGATGGCAGTTGCTACTCAGCTGTACAGGATAGCATTGGGTTTATATTTGCCCAGTGGCATATGGCGTTTTGCATCCAAACTCCCTGCATCCACTGAAGCCAATGGCAAAGCTCTCATGCAAGGCATGATCAGGACCCTAGATGCTGGAGGACTCACCTTGCACTGGTAGCAAGACTCTGCCTCCTCTCGGCTCCTCTGAGCAATCTCCTCGTACCGTGCTTTGACCTCCCGGATGATGCTGTCCAAGTCTAGGTTTCGGCTGTTGTCCATAGACAGGACCACGGAGGTGTCGGAAATGGTCTGCTGCATCTGAGACAGTTCCTGCAAGTCCCATAAACGTGGGCTTTAGCCGCACTGTGTTTCTCATTGTATATGTTCCTCTTTCTCAGTCCTTCTCCATTTCAGATCCTCCATGACTAGCACGGTTGGCCTGAATTTTCTGAACCGCCTAGTGATTTGGAGTGCCCAGCATGAGACACCTTCAAGAGGCCTGATTTCAGAAGCACTTCCTGAAAATCAGCCCCCGCTTTAAATATATCACAAGTTGGGTCCTCCCAAGTCAGTAGACTTTGTCCAAGAGAGGTTTAAGAGATGTCTTGATCTCACTCTACAAGTATCTTCACAGGGAAGAGATTTCTGATAGTAGACAGTTCTTTAACGTAACAGCAAAAGGCATAACGGGATCTAGTGGTTGGAAGGTGAAACTAGACACATTCAGACTAGAGGTAGGGTTCACATTTTTAATAGCAGTGAGGATGATTTAACCAACTGGAACAACTTGCCTAGGGATGGAATCTCCATCACATGAAGTCTTTGAATCAAGACCGGACATCTTTCTATATGAGATGCTCTTGCTTACAAAGACGTTATGGGGTTAATACAGAAATTTCTGGGTGAGTTCTTTGGCCATATTATACAGGAGGCCAGACTAGATGATCACAATGGTCCCTTCTGGCCTTAAACACTAAGAATCTATTTAGACGCTGGTGCTGCTTCAGTTTAAATTGGAGAGAGGCTACTAAGACACAAACCCTATCCTACACAGTTGACATCAATATATTTTAAAGAGGAATATTCATCCTCAGAAAGCCAAATATCCCGATCCCCCATCCAGCTGTTTAGAATTAGCACTCCAGGGCTGCATTCCCCAGGCGACCAAGAGAATAGCAAGCCTTCTCACCACCTCATACAGACATCTCAGGAAGTTGATCTCATCAGTCAGGGAGTCTAGTTTCGCTTGCAGCTCCATCTTGTTCATGTAGGCAGCATCCATCTCCTAAAGGAAAGATTGGTAATAGAGTGAATCTTTCCATCTCCTGAGGCTAATAAATTCAGGTGTCTAATTAGAGCTGGACAGAAACCAGATTCATTTTGCAGGAAAATCCATGATTAAGATATTTTTTCCGGCTCTGAAATTAAACGAAACCAGGAAATTTTGAAATTTCCTGCACAGCTCAGGGAATAATAATTTGGGGTCAATTGAACTGTTTTCTCAATAAAAGTGAAACATTTTCTTCTGATTTTGATCTTTTTTAACTTTTAAAAATACTTTTTAAATGAAAAAGTGAAATGCTCCTTTCCAAAAATATCAAACTGGGACATTTGGGCATCAAAACACTTTCTTTCATTTTTTATTCAAAACGAAGTTTCCTCAACATTGACCCATTTTTCTAAACTTTTCGGTTTTGACGAAAACTGCATTTTTGGGCAAAAAAAGTTTGGACAAAAAACTTCTCATCACTTTTATTAGTGATGCTTCCAAAAAATGGTCTCTAATGTTAGTCTGCCTACAGTAAACCTGGAGCTGGGACAAGCTGAATTGGGTATGAAGGAAGGGTATTTCACTGCATACTCATACGATATTGTCTCGTTGTTTTCTTGTGCTCTCTATCTGTCTCTCTGCCTCTACTCTTTTGTCTTACTATACTTTGATTATAAGCTCTTTGAGGCAGGGACCATTTTTTTGTCTTGTGTTTGTACAGCACCTAGCATAACAGGGTTTGGGCCAGGACTAGAGCTCCTAGGTTCTATTGCAATATAAATAAAAAATAATAATGGAGTAAAATACCTATTCAATTAAGGCTAATCTTGTGCAAAAATAAAAGAGGCATGCATCTGTGTAAGTTGTGTATTTTTCTACACCAGGGGTTGGCAACCTTCGGCACGCAGCCCATCAGGGTAATCCGCTGGTGGGCTGCAAGGCATTTTGCCGAAGGTTGCCAACCCCTGGTCTACACAGTTTGTGTACTTTGTTTTCAGCAGTAGAAACATTTGTACCTAACGACCTTTTTCCTGATCTATTTTGCTATTATATCAGCCTGACCTGAACTCTCTTCTGAGACTCAGACCTGAAGAAGATCTGTGTGTTGTTTCTCTCACCAATGGAAGTTGGTCCAAACTCAAGAAAGGCCAAGATCTTAAGGTGTGTAGGGGAGCAAGATTCGCTCGGTGGTCCTCCGTTAAGATGAAGCTAACTTTAAAGAGTGGGATTTTACTGAGCAGCAACTCTTAGCTCGTAAAACAGTCTTCAAAATATGCTATCTCAGCAGTGTACTAACCACAGGATATGCAGTGGAACAAAGAACTTTGAAAATAGCCTCAGATAAGAAGTGCGCAGCAAAAAAGGAAATAGATAAGAACCAGAAGACACACAATATGGGTAACAAAGGTATAGTGGCTCCTAAATCATAGGAGAAGTAAGACCCTCTGCAGACTGGATGCAGGCCATCTGCAAACTCCGGGGAGGTCTTCAACAGTACCTGTTTGCCTCTCTGTGTATATGCTGTTTTTACTAACTGTTACTTCAGTAAATCCAATCAAAGCTGACTTATCAGGGGTCTGTTATTATTGACTCAAGAGAACTGCTCTCTCTAAACATATAATTACAGTTTAAAATTGTAGCAGTTATTGCTTATCAAGTCATTGGTTGTTGATGATCAGTAAATTATTAATGCTCCCTTTGGGGGGCAGTTTTAAACAAACAGTTCCTAATAATCCCAACCGTTTTCTGTTCATTGCTTAAAGCTTCCTGTGGATTTTTACCCCGCTGGTTGGCTCACCTTTTTCAGGCCCACAAAGTCATTCTCCACAGCTGTCCTCTTGTTTATTTCCTCTTCATACCTGTTGAGTGGAAGGAATAAAAACAGGGTCCAGTTGCTTATTTTTATTCTTGCCTAAGTCATTGGCAACAAGACAAAGAGGCTACTGGAAATGGGTCAGAAATCTTTGTCAAAATCTACCACCATGTTTGAGGATTTATGGACAAACAGCAACATTTTGCCTTCCCAAACGAGCCATTGATTGCTGCCATCTTTCTAAAACACCCAACCCAACATAGAGTCCAATGATGCAAATACTTACTACCAAGAGTAGCATGTGACCTCTATGAGGAGCTTCTTTCACTTCAGTGGGGCTACTCATGGTAGCAAACTTCGCACCCGATAGCAAGTGTTTGCAAAATTAGGCACACAAAGTAGTACTTCCATACTATGTCTGATAGCTCAATTTATTATGATATAACTGCACTCAAGTATTGAATCATGATCTCTCAGAGACTTAGCAGTGCAAACACCTATCCGGTCATCTGGGCCACCCCTAAAATGGCTTAACAAATTGTACGTTTTCTAGTGTTTTGTACAGCTTTGTTTTAAAGGACTCTCTATATTATATGTAACAATATCCTAGAAGTATAGGACTAGAAGGGACCTCCAGTGGTCATCTAGACTAGTCCATCTCCCCATGCTGAGGTAGGATTAAGTATACCTAAACCACCTCTGACAGATGTTTGTCTAATCTGTATTTAAAATCCTCCAATATGGTGGGATTGTAGAGGTGAAAACTTTTCTCACTGTCCATGCACTTGCATGAGGGATGCGTGTGAGCTGAGAGAACAGGTTCAGTGAAGGATCAAAGGATTTTGTTGACTTCTGTGAGCCCATAAGTTTAGACCCTAGGAATGTTTGTGGATTTCTCATAGCTCTGGAACAAGAATCATGGAACCCATCCAGTCAAACTGATCGTTCTCTGCCATTCTCTCTCTACCAAATTCACGGACATGAAAAATGCACCACGGACCATGAAATCTGGTCTACCCCTGTGAAATCATAGAATATCAGGGTTGGAAGGGACCTCAGGAGGTCAGCTAGTCCAACCCCCTGCTCAAAGCAGGACCAATCCCCAATTGTTGCCCCAATCCCTAAATGGCCCCCTCAAGGATTGAACTCACAACCCTGGGTTTAGCAGGCCAATGCTCAAACTACTGAGCTATCCCTCCACCCAAATCTGGTCTTTCACCACATACAATAAAGATTTCACAGGGGAGACCAAATTGGGGGTCCTGACTCAAAAGGGAGTTACAGGGGGATCACAAGGTTATTTTAGGGGGGGGGATCTCGGTATTGCCACCTTTACTTCAATGCTGCCTTCAGAGCTGAGTGGCCAGAGAGTGGCGGTCATTAGCCAGGCGCCCGGATCTGAAGGGGGCGCCCCACCAGCAGCCGTGCAGAAGTAAGGGTGGCAATACCGTGCCAGACCACCCTTATTTCTGTGCTGCTGCTGGCAGCGGCTCTGCCTTCCGGGCCAGCAGCCACCGCTCTCCAGCTGCCCAGCTCTGAAGGCACCAGCAGCCATGCAGAAGTAAGGGTAGCGGTATCACAACTCTCCCCTACAATAACCTTGCAAACACCCCCACCCGCACTCCTTTTTGGGTCAGGTCTCCTACAATTACAACACTGTGAAATTTCTGATTTAACTAGCTGAAATCATGAGTGCTAATGAAATCAAGGCTAATGTAGTGCCAATCTTTAAAAAAGGGAAGAAGGAGGATCCTGGGAACTACAGGCCAGTCAGCCTCACCTCAGTCCCTGGAAAAATCATGGAGCAGGTCCTCAAAGAATCAATCCTGAAGCACTTGCATGAGAGGAAAGTGATCAGGAACAGCCAGCATGGATTCACCAAGGGAAGGTCATGCCTGACTAATCTAATCGCCTTTTATGATGAGATTACTGGTTCTGTGGATGAAGGGAAAGCAGTGATGTATTGTTTCTTGACTTTAGCAAAGCTTTTGACACGGTCTCCCACAGTATTCTTGTCAGCAAGTTAAGGAAGTATGGGCTGGAAGAATGCACTATAAGGTGGGTAGAAAGCTGGCTAGATTGTCGGGCTCAACGGGTAGTTATCAATGGCTCCATGTCTAGTTGGCAGCCGGTATCAAGTGGAGTGCCCCAAGGGTCGGTCCTGGGGCTGGTTTTGTTCAATATCTTCATAAATGATCTGGAGGATGGTGTGGATTGCACTCTCAGCAAATTTGCGGATGATACTAAACTGGGAGGAGTGGTAGATACGCTGGAGGGGAGGGATAGGATACAGAAAGACCTGGACAAATTGGAGGATTGGGCCAAAAGAAATCTGATGAGGTTCAATAAGGATAAGTGCAGGGTCCTGCACTTAGGACGGAAGAACCCAATGCACAGCTACAGACTAGGGACCGAATGGCTAGGCAGCAGTTCTGCGGAAAAGGACCTAGGGGTGACAGTGGACGAGAAGCTGGATATGAGTCAGCAGTGTGCCCTTGTTGCCAAGAAGGCCAATGGCATTTTGGGATGTATAAGTAGGGGCATAGCGAGCAGGTCGAGGGACGTGATCGTTCCCCTCTATTCGACATTGGTGAGGCCTCATCTGGAGTACTGTGTCCAGTTTTGGGCCCCACACTTCAAGAAGGATGTGGATAAATTGGAGAGAGTCCAGCGAAGGGCAACAAAAATGATTAGGGGTCTGGAACACATGACTTATGAGGAGAGGCTGAGGGAGCTGGGATTGTTTAGCCTGCAGAAGAGAAGAATGAGGGGGGATTTGATAGCTGCTTTCAACTACCTGAAAGGGGGTTCCAAAGAGGATGGCTCTAGACTGTTCTCAATGGTAGCAGATGACAGAACGAGGAGTAATGGTCTCAGGTTGCAGTGGGGGAGGTTTAGATTGGATATTAGGAAAAACTTTTTCACTAAGAGGGTGGTGAAACACTGGAATGCGTTACCTAGGGAGGTGGTAGAATCTCCTTCCTTAGAGGTTTTTAAGGTCAGGCTTGACAAAGCCCTGGCTGGGATGATTTTACTGGGAATTGGTCCTGCTTCGAGCAGGGGGTTGGACTAGATGACCTTCTCGGGTCCCTTCCAACCCTTATATTCTATGATTCTATGATTCTATGAAATTTATGACTTTAAAAAACCTACGACTGTGAAATTGACCAAAATGAATTTGGTAGGGCCCTACCAGTGAGATTACATCCCACATTATTCACATCCGAGAGCAGGGGATTTTGTTAAATCTCCATCTTGGCGAATTGCTTTCAAAAGTCCCACCCGCAAAGAAATCCATTTTCTTCCATTTCTGCCTTGACACAAAGGTAAAACCCGACTGATTTCAAATTACCCAAGAGCAAGTTAGAGTGGGATCTGTCCACGGATAGAATACAATTAAATCTTAATAGTCCATTGCTAATTAGGGAACAGGTCAACTATAATAAATCTCTGCAAGAAGATTATTCTCTTTCAATCAGAACCATCATTCACATTCACCTTATTAGTGCCGGTAGAAAAATGAGTTGAGACAATTCATGAAAATTGTATCCTTCCTTGTCAAAATTCAAAATTCTGATGACAAATTTCATCACATTTTGAAAAAAAAATGACCATTTCTACAGCTGATTGAAAGACAGGATGAAATTTTCATGACCATTTTGACAATTTCTTTTCTCACCATTTGATATTTTTATGGACATTTCATCCACATTTCAAATTTTGAAGGTGTTTTGTTAAACCATCTCTACAGCTGATTGAAACGTGATTCAATTTCTGTGACCATTTTGTCCTTTTTTTTTAGTCAAAATTTGAAATGTCAGTAAAAATCTCACCATTATTTCAAATTTTGACTTTTTAGAGCAGTAAAAATGCGTGATCAAAATTGATCAAAAAATCAAACTTCAGAAAATTTCTACCAGCTCTAATTATCATTAGAAATTGATCCAGACCAAACCCCAGAACCAAAGAATCTGAACTTTGGCAAATTTCCAATTGGCTTCTCAGCTCTCTGACTGGAGTCTGACTGCAATGATTATACTTCGTTATTATTTCCTTACTTGTTCTTAAAATCCTCCACCAGATCTTGGAAGCTCTTCCACTCGGTATCCAGCTGTCTCCTCTCATTTAACAGGCCACCTAGCTGCTTTCTCAAGCCATTGATATAAGCCTCAAATAGCTGGTCAAGGTTCTTTTTAATGGGTCCTTGGCCCTGTTCCTGCAAGAGTTTCCATTTTGTCTCCAGAACTTTATTCTGCTGTTCTAGAAATCGGACCTGAAAGCCAAAAGAGAGTGGTTGAAAAAGATTAGTTAAAATTTTCATCTTTCTTTTTCGTTTGTTTGCTTTTTGTTGTTGACCAGGTCTAGTGAGTTTAACCTTTTCCCTGATACAACTATCCTGAAAGCAATGACTCAGTAACCCTGCTCCAGAATCCTCTTGGATAAACAGGAAAAAAACCTCCTTGAACAGCAGAATCAAATATTTGTGGAGGGATTTTTTTCCAGACAAAATTCTCAGTCGTAGGCAAAAGAAACTTGAGATTTTTCATTACAGAGACACCAATGGATTAGAAGAATGGATGGTGTTGACCAGATGGGAGATGACATTTAGCAGGGAATATATCGTACAATTTGTTGCCTTGGTAACCAATGCTAATGATCCGGTAGGTAGAGCAGCAATCCATGGTTCAATTCCCTAGTCTACCAATAACCTTCTCTGTGACCTTGAGCAAGTCACTTCCCCTCCCACGCTTTGCCTCGTCTATTTTCAGTGTAAGCTCTTTGGGGGAAGGGGCTCTCTTTTGCAAAGTGTTTGTACAGTCACAGGCAGTGGGGCTGCGGGGGGGTGCTGATCTTGTGTGGGGTCTCTAGGAGCAATAGTGTCCCTTCCCCCACCCATCTCACCTTGTCAATGAAGGAGGCAAATTTGTTGTTCAGGGTCTTCATCTGCTCCCTTTCCTCTTTCCGCACTTTCTGGATCTCTGGGTCAATCTTCAAGTTGAGAGGAGTCAGGAGGTTCTGGTTGATGGTCACTTCTTGGATGCCACCAGGTGGGCAAACAGGAAATCCAGGGCCATCCCATCCACCACCAAATCCTCCTCCAGCCCCACCACCAAAGCAACCACCGAGCCCACCACTGAACTGTCCCCCAGACCCAGCACCACCGCCAAACCCTCCACCCACGTGGCTGCCAGCCCCAAACCCTCCACAAGTGCCACCAAATCCACCAATGGAAATCCTTTTATTTCATCCCAAGTTATGCAGGCTCCTACTGCCAAAGCCTCTGGGACTCCAGGCTGAGCCTGTGCATCCTCCGCATGACACTGTGCTGAAGCTGACTTTGTTCCTACCACTAACACGGGCAGAGCTGGAGCTGAAACCCCCGAGGCTGCCTCCCAGGCTTTGGCCAGAAAACTGGCGAGACATAGCAGCAGCTCCCCTTCAGCAGAAGAGAAGAGAGAAGGAGACCTTGACGGGGGAGCTACCAGAGGAAAGTCCCAGGGCAAAAGCAGTTGAGTCCCTCTAAAGACAGTGCAAATCTCTTCCTTTTTATCTGTTCAGGGAGTTGCCTAGGTAACAGGGGAGTGCAGAAAGGTGTCGTTTTTTGTATTCCTGGGCTTAAATGAGCCATCACCTCGTCCCTCTGCCAAAAAACTGACCTTTCCTGAAACACACCCCAAAGAGCTAAGAAACCTGCACCAGTACTGTTGTCTTTGGGAATTCTTGTTTGCCTCAAATTACTTGTGTTTTCCTTGTACCAACCCAGAATAGATTATCCAGAGTCTTACTTCGATGACACAGCATTCAAATTCCTTGACATATTTTGCCCTAGGGTGAGACCCTTCCTATATCCAGATCACTGACTTTTTAAAGCCTGTTGGCAAGTGTTGGTTTAGTGAATTCAGAAAAAATGCGCTGCCTTTCACAATTCAGAAGACAAAACAAAAACAAAAAACACAACACACCCCAGGATTGCCCCATAAATCAACTTTTTGCTTGAAAAAAAATGTTGATTTACATTCTCCAAAATCACTTTCTTAATCCAGGGGAAGAGAGGGAAGAGGTCTGAACTATAGCAGTGAAAAGAGGTTGTGGGTTTGCTTAGTTAAAAGTGAATCTCCATTTTCATGTCTCGGTCCTGTTTAAGAGGATGAACGCATGCTAGCTGGAGAACATACCTAGGTTTGCAGAGATGTGAGGCGTTTCATTACAAACGGTTCTAATCAAAGGTGTAGTGTCTGCAATCTAGCGTCCCCCTTTCAGCCTCGGCTAGAAAAGACAAGGTCATTCACTATCTGGCAAGCAGAGAACAAGAGAGACGGAGGTGACACCGCTGCCCAAGGCCCCTGCAATGGCAGGGAATTGATTCAGTGAGATAGGCATTGATGAGCCTAGCAATCAATCCACGCCCCATGCTGCAGAGGAAGGTCAAAACCCCCAACACCCCAGTTCAGGTTGGCCTGTGGGGAAAATGCCTTCCCGACCCCAAATGTGTGTATCAATATGCCCCTGAGCATGTGAGCCAAACCCACCAGCCAGGCATCTAGCAAGAGGATTCTCCGGCCCACCTCAGAGCATTAATCTACCCCATCCAGTGCCCCATCTCCACCACGGACCCATTAGTGGGTTGCGCAGGGAACTGGCTCGCACATATTTTTGCCAGGATATTACATTCAGTTAATGATGATGTGTGTGCTCATGGCAAGGGGTGTTCTGCTTTTAGCACAAGTCACTCACTGGGCCCTGCATCCACACTACATCAGAATAGTTCTAGTGATCTCCACCCACTGAGGTATCTGGGGAACCTACCATGCTGGAGTCTTGCAGGTTAGAAAAGCCATTCCTTCTGGGCTGGCGAGGACAGGAGAAATCCCAGCGTTGCCCTGTACATCACAGCCCATCATTAGGCCGTTGGTCTGTCTCACGGGGTTTCAACAGGTTAGGTGGCCTTTTGACATGAAATCAGGAACATTTGGATGAACTGATCCCAGGATATTTGACCTCGGCAAGAAAACTGTTGTGGGCAAAAAATAAGCCTACCAGCGTTGTGATGCTCACATTAGCTAGTGTTACGTGCCTTTATTGTGTTTCACTAAACAGACTGAAACCTGAATGCAAGACTGCTTTGTGACACAACCTAGTTTCTTAAGAGCCCACCCAAAATATCCCATACATGACATGAATGTGGACCCTCCTTTTCCTAGAAGTCCAGCGTGATCTAGTGACTGGGACACACACTACCACAGATCTGCTGCACGATCTTAAGTAAAACATGCCATTTTTCCCCATCCTGAGTTTTGTCTATTTTGATCTTCAGAGCAGGGACCATCTCTAACTCTGTATTTGCAAAGTGCCTAGCACAATGAAGCCCTGATCTTAAGGCTTGTCTACATGTCAAGGTACTGCGCAGCAAGCCCGGGTGTGAATCTACAGCGTGCCATGTAGTAACTCATCGTGTAAACAAGCCCTTGGGTGCAGGCTGATGGTAATACAAATGTAAATAACAGCACCTAGTACCTCGCATCAGTAAATCTCAACATTCTTTACAGGCCAGTATGATTATCCCCATTTTACACATGGGAAAATTAAGCCACAAACAGGTCATATGATTTGCTCTAGGTCACCCAGAAGGCCAATGACCTGACTAAGACTAGAAGCCAGGTCTGCTGAGACTCTGTCCAATACACGACCCACTAGACCACTGGCCACTTGGATAAACTGGTTTCACATTGGCCACTTAAAACAGGAATCACTATGCATATATTTATACAGGGTTCTTTGCATCTGTTAAACTGGAATTCCAATATGCTTCTACACGCTTTTTTTGGGTAGCTCCTGCCTGTATAGAATTATAGACACATGTGACAGGGTCAGGCCAGATGGCTACAAAAGAGTGCTAGAAGGTAGATATATTAGCCCCAGGTAAAGTAGGTCCCTTTTCCCTGGGTAAGGTAACAGGGAAGGTTCCAGAACAATCAGGAACTTTCTGGAAAGAATTAAGGCAGACGGGCTGATTAGAACACCTACAGTCAATCAAGAAGCTGCCAGAATCAATTAAGACAGGCAGGCTAATCGGGGCACCTGGGTTTTTAAAAAAGGCGCTCACTTCAGTGTGTGGTGTGCGTGCAAGGAGCTGGGAGCAAGAGGCGCAGGAAGCTGAGAGTGAGAAGGCGTACTGCTGGAGGACTGAGAAGTACAAACATTATCAGACATCAGGAGGAAGGTTCTGTGGTAAGAATAAAGAAGGGGTTGGGAGGAGGCCCTGGGGAAGTAGCCCAGGGAGTTGTAGCTGTCGCCCAGCTGTTCCAGGAGCCACTGTAGACAGCTGCAATCCACAGGGCCCTGGGCTGGGACCCGGAGTAGAGGGTGGGCCCGGGTTCCCCCCACCCTACCCAACTCCCTACTTGATACCGGAGGAGTTGACCTGGACTGTGGGTTCCACCAGAGGGGAAGGTCTCTGGCCTGTTCCCCCATCCAGTAGGTGGATCAGCAGAGACTGCGGGGATTGTTCTTCTTCCTTTTCCCCATGCTGGCCAGTGATGAGGCTAACTGAGTGAATGGCAGATTTGAGCCACGAAAGTGGCCAAACTGAGGGCTGCTGTGAACCTCTGAGATGAGCAAATCCACCAATAAGCGCAGGACCCACCAAGGCAGAGGAGGAACTTTGTCACACACAGAATAGATAAATATAGATATAGCATAGAAGAGTCCCGTAGAATTTAATGGAGACTGTCACCTTTCTACAGTCTTCCTGGTGACCACCCTGCCGAATTCTACAGCAAGGATAAAATTCTCTAGCAAACTTTATAAGGAGTTCCTGATGAACGCCCTTACATTTCTACAGAATCTTCTTGGTGGTGCTGTTATGAGATTCTACAAGGCTTTTCCATAAGACTTCACGGTACTTCACCCAAACAGTTTATGGGCAAGGGCGGACCCCCCCGCAGCAGACTTCAACTCCAGCTGCCAGCTCAGATCCTGAACAGGGAGGGTGGCTCAGATTTGGTGTTCTGCGTTGGGCCTACTGAAGTGACATGCAGTTCTACAGGAGATGGTAATATCTACTGCTCTAGATTCGGGTCCATCTCCGTCATGAGTCAGGCAAGGGAGACTTAATGATCACAGGAGCTGAGTGGGTGGAGAATTTTTGAACAAGGTTTTTCTTTTAGCAAACGCTGATTCTTCAAAATGGAAACTTTTCACAGAAGCATCTTGGCTTCAACAAAACATTCTCAGGTCCAGGCTAGAATTTCTCAGGTGAGGGGGAAAGGCAGGGACAGAGTAGCCAAGAGCTCAGTGGTTAGGAAACTCCCCTAGTTGGAATCAGGCACAGTACAGATTTGCACCTGAATCTCCCACATCCCAAGTGAGGGCAGCAGAGTGAAAGCAACTGTCAACCCCCCTCATTTTTCACAAAATGGAATTCTTGCTTTCCAGCCAGCCCTACACAGGCATGACTCTGTTAAATCACACCAGCTCCACGAGCATAAAATTGTGTGATCAGAGGAACAAGCTGATGGCTCTGGCTCTAAAAGATTTTGCCCGTTTCCTGTGCTCACCATCCGTCTCCGATAGACGGCAATCACAATAGCTAACCTCACCCTGAAACTCTCGACCAACTCTCGGTACAAGGTACAGCTAGTCGGAGAAATAGCAAGGTCCCATGAATGGGGCATAGGACTAAGAGACATGGGTGCTGTTCCCACATCTGCCACTGACTTTGTGTGAAACCCCTGGGCACGTTGCTTCTTTAGTCAGTACCTCAGTTTCCCTAGCTGTAAAATGGCAACCTGCCTTTGTGAAGCCCCTGATAGGGCTGTTCTTCCAATAGAAAACTGGCATTTCAATGCACAGACTGTTTCCCACGGACGGTGTTGGCTTTGGGTAGAAAATGTTGACTTTTCATTAAAAAAAAAAAAACCAGGTTTTAGCCTGAAAATTTCAGTTTTTCAATGAAAAGGGCAAAATTTTCCATGGGGGGGAAAAAACCCATTTTCTGATTAGCTGCTCTCCTTGACATTTTGCAAGACATGTTTGGAGCTGTGCCATGGTTTTTTCCTCCACCTTCGTGGGATTCTGCTGCTTCTGCGTTAGTCACCTACAGATTCTTTTGCTGGAAAGGAGAGGGGAAAAAACCAAAGCAATAAAAATCGAATTGCTTCATTCAACTCTTAATTTATATTCTAATTAGCACCGGTGTCCTTAGTCACACAAATGCAAGATCCTCATCTATCCCCCTGGAACAAAACCCACACCTTGCCTCAACCCCAGGCTGTGCCTGAACCGAAACAAGGAAGCCAGAGTTTATGCTGTGCACTCTGTCACATTGTCATTTCTTGTAAGGCTTGTGGGTAACCTTTTAGTGAATCAATTCTTCAAATCCCACTTGTTTCACTTCAGCTCTTTCTGCATACATACAGTTCCAC